CACCAAGTCAGATCTGACTCATAGCTACCCCTCCTTGGGTTTCTGAGGCAGTGTCACTATGAAAGTAGATTGCCCAACCTTCCTTCCGAGGAATGGCTGGTGGATTTGAACCACCAGTCTTCTGGTTAGCAATTGTGAGTGTAATTTTATGTAATAGATGCTTTAGATTGACAACTTTATTGTTTATCTTACATATCTAGTGCTAGAACACATAAATCAGTCCATTCCCCTTTAAATAAAATTAAATCTCTTTAATAAAAACCTTTAATGTATGAATAAATTAAATTAATTTCTCTGAAATAATTGAAAAGTTAGGTAACTTTTCTCATTAAAGAATCAATTGATTCAATTAATAACTTTGTGTCTATTCCAAAGAAGGGTGATCCAAAAGAATGTGAAAATGATCAAACAGTACCATTACTACCACACTCAAGTAAAATTTTGCTGAAGATAATTCAAAATTGGTGCATCAGTATATTGACAGGGAAATTCTAGATATTCAAGATGGATTCAGAAGAGATCAAGGAAGAATGGATATCATTGCTCCTATCAGATGGATCTTAGCTAAAAGCAAAAAAATACCATAATGATGTTTACCTGTGTTTTATTAACTATGCAAATGCTTTCAACTGGGTGGATCATAACAAATTATGGATAACATTGTGAATAATGGGAATTCCAGAACACTTAATTGGGCTCATGTGGAATATGTACATAGACCAAGAGGCAGTCATTTGAACAGAACAAGGGGACACTATGCGATTTAAAATCAGTAAGGATGTCTTTCAAGTTTGGATATTTTACCATGCTTATTCAACCTGTATGCTGCTGAAATACCCATTGAGATGTTTCAACAAATGGATACAGTACTGGAGACACTTACTCATTTACAGTAAGAAATTTGGAAGACAGCTACCTGGCCAACTAACTGGAAACTATCTATATTTGTACTCATTCCCAAGTAAGGTGATCCAATTGAATGTGAAAATTACCAAACAATACCATTACTACCTGTGATACTTGGAGCTGTGTGTCAAGTTGGCTAGACCACAATTCTCAGTGGTTTAAGCAGTTGTGATGTGGGTTATTTCAATGATGAGATTAGATGTATATGTTTTGAGCAGCCAATACATTGAAAGGGAGTTTCCCTAGGGGTGTGGCCTACTTCCAGTATATTTATGGGCATCCTGGGAAAAAGAGACACTCTTTTGCAGATTGGAATCCTGCTATGCTGCCTACAACTGTCTGCGAGTGAACAACCCACCGTTCGGCCTGGTGATCTTAAATTCGTCATTCGTTGGAGTCAATAGCTGGTATACTTATTGCCTGCCAACCTTGAGCTTGTCAGCTCCTATAGATGTGTGAGTCAGGAAAAGCCTCCAGCTTGATGTTTCATCCAAGAACTTGGGACTTGCCAGCTTCTATAAGTGTGTGAGCCATTTTCCTAAGATAAATTTCTCTCTTCCTCTCTCTCTAAACTATACTTGTTTTCCTTCTCTAGAGAACCCAGTCTAACACACTACCACACTAAAGTAAAATATGACTGAAGATAATTCAAAAACAGTTGTAGCAGTACATGGATGGGGAACTTGTATAACAAGTTGTACTCATGAAGAACCTATAAAAACACCGAGAAATTGTTGTTCAAACAGAGCAAGGGGATACTAAATGGTTTAAAATAAGGAAGGGTGTGTGTCAGAGTTGCATCCTCTCACCATACTTATTCAATCTGTATGCTGAGCCAATAATCCCAGAAGCTAAACTTTATGCAGAAGAATGTGGCATGAATATTGAAGGAAGACTCATTAACAACCTGCAATATGCAGATCACACAACTATCCATGCTGAAAGTGAAGAAGACTTGAAGCACTTACTTATGAAGATCAAAGACTACAGTCTTCAGTATGAATTATACCTCAATTTAGGAAACAGAAATCCTCACAACTAGACCAATAAGCAACATCACAAAAAAAGGGAGAAATGATTGAAGGTGTCAAAGATTTCATTTTACTTGGATCCACAATCAACACCCATGGGAGCAACAGTCAAGAAATTAAATGTTGTATTGCATCGGGCAAATCAGCTAAATAAATAAATAAACAAACCCTCTTAAAAGTGTTGAAGAGCAACCATGTGACTTTGAAGACTACGGTGGTCCTAAGCCATGTCATGGTATTTTTAGTAATCTCACATGCATGGACAATGAGTAAGGGCAACCTTGGAAATGTTGATGCATTTGAATTATGAGTGTTGGAGAAAAATACTGAAAATACCATGGACTTCCAGAAGAGAGAACTAAATTATCCCACAAGAAGTGAGCTGGAATGCTCCTTTGAAACAAGAATGGTCAGACATCATCTCACCTATTTAGTCATGTTGTGAGAATGGAACAGTCCATGGAGAAAGATATCATGCTTGGGAAAGTAGAAAGTCAGCCGGAAAGGACCATCAAGAAGATGGATTGACAGAGTGACTACAACAAAGGGCTCAAGCATAAGAATTATTGTGAGGATGGTGCAGGACCAGTTTTGTTCTGTTGTACCCAGGGTCGCTGTGAGTCAAAGCCAACGCAACGGCACCTAACAGCAACACTGATATCCTGTAAGTGTCTGCTTCATTAAATGACTGATGTTTCCTTCTAGGTAATAAAATGATATCTCAGGAGACATGAAGAAAGACATAAATGCGTTTTCGTGCATGCATGTGATCTTCTCGTAATTCCCCCATATCCCTCTTCTAGTAGTTAATTTACAAATGAAGCATGAATCCTTGGGAGCTGTTTTACATATTCTGATATTACACTTTACTCCTTTTTATAAAAACAGCAAATATATTTTTCAGTGATATAATTTGTTGAAATTTGCTAAGTAGTTCACATCATGTTTTTGCACCTGTTTTGTCTTATATATTTTTCAAATGAGAAATAAAATTATATCTGATGTACTATCACTTACGGATAACTTGCTTTTATAGTGCCTAAGGCATTTGACTGCTAACCAGAAGGCTGGAGGTTCAAACCCCACAGCCAGTCCTCAGAAGCAAGGTTTGGCAATCTACTTCCATAAAGATACCACCTGGGAAACCCGACGAGGGGTCGCCAAGAGTCAAATCCGACTTGACGACATTGAGAGAACTTTTAGATTGTATTTTTCTCTTTTTTTCAAATGTCTTCTAAGACTTCAGAGACTTTAATAAACCTTGAAAAATTGCAGCTTACTATAGCAGGGGATCCGAAATGCTGTGTGAACAAGGTTATATTTTTTCAATGTTTCCAAGTATCAGAAATGAGCAAAAGGTGAGTAGTGGAGGTTATGTGAACAAAAAGGTTCTCTATGAAGGATAACTGCTCAGATCTCTTGGGAGAAGCCATTCTTCAAATATGCATTTGTGATTTCAGAAAATAACATTATATACCTAGTTGGATATACAGCAGTAGCACTCACAAAAGTGTCTAACTAAATTTTGATGTTAAAAACTTATAATAAAATTTTAATATGAACTATGTATTATCTTTCTACTTGAAGACCTTTCTTCTCCTCTCCCAAATTTTACTTTTGTAATATAATTTGATAATTGTGATTTAATAATTGAAAGTGTAATGGTATATCTTAATTAATACATATTAGATCCCACTTATTGACTAAATATTTTGCTATTATTTAAAATGTAAAGAGCCCTGGAGGCACAGTGGTTAAAGTGCTTGGATGTTACCTGAAAAGTTAGCAGATAGAAACCTCCACCAGCTCCGTGGAAAAACCATGTTGCAGTCTGCTTCCCCTGAAGGGTTACAGCTATAGGAAATCTACCCCATATGGTCACGTTGAGTCAGAGTAGACCAATGGCAATAAGTATCTCAAATCTGAGTTAAAATTTCGTAATACCTAAAGAAAGACAATATTCTACCTCTGCTGTTTTTTCTTCAAAGTGGAAGCAATAACACTAGAAAATATTCCATTGCTTTTGTCCAGTGATAAAGTTAGCATCTCTATAACAAACATGTGACTGTTATATTTCAATTGTAATGGTAAATTTGAATCTCAATTTTCCTACCTTTTTTTTTTTTTTTTTTCTAGTCTTTAGGTTTAAGTAGAATATATATGTGTGTGTGGGGGCGGGGGGAGTTTAGAAGAAAAGAAAACAGTGACCTACTAGGAATTTGTTTTCCCAAATTTATTGTATTCAGTGAAATGTCAATTCAATACAGTGACAATTGGGATTATTGTTTCTCTTTAAATGAATATTATTTTATTGATTTATTTTAAAAAAAATAAGTAGGTCTCTTAAAACGCAATAAAAAGTGTATATGTTAGTATGAAGTATAGAAAGTCTGTAGGAAAATAAACAATTGATGTAATGTGCAGATCATACCTAGCCAAAAACAAACTCACTGCCATCGAGATGATTCTGACTTGTAGTGACCCCCTTTGAGTTTCCGAGGCAGTAATTCTTTATGAAAGTAGATTGCCCAGTCTTCCTTCTGTGGAGTTGCTGATGGATTTGAACCACCAACCTTTTGGTTAGCAGTCAAATGTCTTAAGCATTACACCACACCACCAGAGAATCATAGAGAGAGGGAAAATCAAAATCAACTTAGTATTAAATTATAGATATGGAATCTTCAGAGCATACAATATGAGGCTGGGACATAGTTGCATACTAATTTATCCCATGTATATTTTACAGCTGCACTCCAATTCTGACAAAGGTGATGGGTCTGTCAAGTACATCCTTACTGGAGAAGGTGCTGGGACTATATTTATCATTGACGATACCACAGGTGACATCCATTCAACGAAAAGCCTAGACAGAGAGCAGAAGACTCACTATGTGCTCCACGCTCAGGCTATTGACAGACGAACAAACAAGCCACTTGAACCTGAATCTGAATTCATCATCAAAGTGCAAGACATCAATGATAATGCCCCCAAATTCACAGATGGACCATACATTGTTACTGTGCCTGAAATGTCAGATATGGGTAAGATCAATCATTTTATGCCTGAGCAACTAACTTAGTTTGAAAATTCAAATAAATCCTTTGAAAATAAGTTCTTAACATTTTTTTTTTCTTTTTAAGAAATCTGGAGATGTTTCAAAATGTTTTAAAAATTTTTCTGTGGCATAAAACTGTTAAAGAATATTAAGTGTAGCTCCTCTCATACTAATTGAAATTATTTCAGTACATTTAAGTGAAGGTAACAAACAATTTGATCTAACATATAATAAGTTGAAAAACACCTGCAATTTTTGTTTAATTGGTTTGGTTCTTTGACCATTTAAACCCTTTGTTTATATTGTTAAGAACATTCAAAGACATTGAAAGAGAAAATTTGCATAGAAGAAGATAGAAAATCTAATGCTTAGAAATTTTATCTACATACCTACATAAGTTTTTAGTTTATGACCAGTTAATAGCATCAGTAGTAGAAGTGATAAGTACATTAATCTATAAACATTTTTTCAGATACCACTAAGCATTTTACATAACTCATTATTTTAAAACTTTTAACAACCCCACAATGTACTATTAATACCATTTTGTGCAAACATACCCAGGGTATTTGAATAAAAATCAGAAACCAAACCCACTGCTGAGGAGTCAGGTCTGACTTATAGTGACCCCTCCTTGGATTTCCAAGGTGGTATCACTACAGAAGTAGATTGCCCAACCTACCTTCTGGAGAGCAGCTGGTGGGTTTGAACTGCTAGCCTTCTGGTTAGTGGCCAGATGCCTTAGACACTACGCCACCAGAGCTCCCCAGTATTTGAATACTCTCTCCTAATTTGTGTGTCTAGTATGCACTGTCACTGCTGTTGTAGGTTCCATCCAGTAGATTTTTGACTCATACCAACCCCTTGTGACAGAGTAGAACCATTGCACAGTGTGTTCTTGGCTGGAATCTTTATGGGAGAAGATATCCAGGTCTTTCTTCCATGGAGCCACTGGGTGGGTTTGAACCTACAACTTTGGGGTTACCATCCAAGCACTTTACCTTTGCACCACCAGGGCTCCTTAGTCTACTACATACCCAAGAAGAAATTATTCTGGGCTATTTGCATGTCTCTAGTCCTCTGATGTTTTGGGGTTTTTCACCTCTCAGATTTCTGTGACCTAGCTTATTTATTTATTTATTTATTATTTATCTCGTATGATGAATTTTCCAAATATATTGAAAGAGAGTTAAGTTACGATATTAATTTGTTGACGCTCTTGGTATGACTCTCTACTTGGACTTAGAAGAGAATACTTATTCTTTAAGATTTTGCATAATTAATTTTACTGCATGTAAACAACAACAGCAACAACAACAAATGGTCATGGAGTTGATTTGGTGTCATGGCAACCAAATGCATATCCGTGTAGAGCCGTGCTCCCTGTGGTTTCGTTGCCTGAGTTTTTGGAAATCAATTGCTTTGTTCTGGGCTTTCTTTTGAGGTGGCCCTGGGTGGATTTGAGCCTCCAACTTTTGAGTTAGCAGCTGTGCCCATTAACCATTGACATCACCCAGGGACTCCTACTGGGCAATCTGAGTAATATTTCAAACTAAGGTTGTTGTATTGTTGTTAGGTGTAGTCAAGTCAGTTCTGAGTCGTAACAACCCTATTTACAATAGAATGAAATGTTACTTGGTCCTGTGCCATCCTCACAAATGTTGTTATGTCCGAGCCCATTGTTGCAGCCACTGTGTCAGGCCTTCTTTTTGTGGATCTTCCTTTTTGTTGTTGTTGTTGTTTTTTGCTGAACTTTTCCTTTAAGAAGCATGATATTTTAGTCACTATGGTAGCTAAGGCTATGTGTCTGTTGGGCTGGGACTGGTTTTGAGTGGCTGGTTGTAGTTATTTTGTGTGACAACTGGTTGTATTTATTCCCCATTATGAGACTGGCAATCAACTCCATGGTGTTGAGTAGCAGCTGAGTAGCTGCTTTTGGGAGGTGGTATGCTTCCAATATGTAAGGAGAAGCTTTGAGAAAGATCTCTGCATCTTTTTGGCACACTTGGACCCTACATGTAGCCGAGTCTTCATTTAGTAGCCTGCCATGTTTCCTGCTAATCTTGGGACTGTCTCTGGACTTGAACTAGTGGCCTTCCATATTGTGTGCTAATATTGAGACTGTGCTATTCTACTCATTGACCTTGGGCTTGTCAGCTTCAGCAGCCAGCAGCTGCCTGAGTTAAGAGACCCCTCTATCTCCAGTGGGCTAGGAGCAAGAGGCAGAGCTAAAGCCCAAAGTCGAGGGGTTTCCACCCAGTCCCTTGAGTTTGGCATTTTGAACTTGGACTTCTGGCCCCCAGAAGGGTAATAGAGTAAACTCCTGTTTGTTCAAGCCATCCATCTGTTGTATTTCTGTTACAACAATACTCCAGAAGCCAAAACTGGTGTTGTTATTATGTGCCGTTGAGTTGAACCCGACTCATAGAGACCCCTCCTTGGGTTTCTGAGGCAGTATCACTAGGGAAGTAGATTGCCCAACCTTGGGTTGTTATAGTCACTAATACACACACACTGATGATTTGGATATGTATATAAAATTGTTTGTAGAGGATAGTAATTTCTTTCTTCCCCCCCTCTGTATATTTTAATTTTCTTGAGCTAGGCAAATGGTGTCTACTGGGAGAGCAGGTTGGCAATGGAGTCTCAGATCTCCTTCTTGGCCAGATTCTTAGTGAAAAAAAATCAGATGCTTTTCCCAGGGCTTCAGGATTAGGGGAGCCCGAGTAGAGGGACAGAAAAGGCTCAGGGTCCTTGGTCTCCAGGAAGTAAGGAGAAACTGAAGGTCTCAGTACCTTTAAGTCCAGTCAGGAGAGAGACTGTGTGAAATCATAGAGCAGAAGACCTGCTGCCTGGTCATGGGATTGTCAATACGGCAATGCCCTTCTGTCTTACAAAGTCAGTGAGCTCCATGACTCCGTCATTTATGAGACTGCCTCCATTAATCTACTTCTAGGAGCTCAATGAAAGCCCCCCAAAGCATAAACAAAGCAGCTGTAACCATAGGGGCACAGTACCAGAGGGAGGAAATCAGGCAGAACAGCCATTACTGAGAAAGGGAACCTATTGGAGTGTTCATAACAAAAGCACTCGAGGAGTTTTGAAGACATCTCTGAGATTTTCTGTAAGTGCAAACCATATTTTTAACAAACACATAAACAACAACAAATCAAGACAGCAATTGAAGGCATGAATGGGTCACTGATAAGATCAAGATTACTGTCCGGGGACTTGAAAAAATAATGAAAAGGAAGAAATACCTAGAAATTGCCAAGCAAAACCATAAAAAGATGGAAATTGTGTGGGGGAAAAATGTGGAGGGTATATTCAGGGCACCTATAGTGTTAATAATAGGAAAAAGAACAGATGGAGGACAAGAGCAATATGTATCTTTTTTTTTTTCCTTGAGGTAAAAGGAATTTGCATTTTTAATAGACTTAATGAGTGCCAGTTAGGTTTAGTGTAATAAAAAGCAAACTTAGGTAAATCCTGGAATAGGTCCTAAAGCCTAAGGATGCATC